CTCTCTCTCTCTCTCTCTCTCTCTCTCTCTCTCTCTCTCTGTGCCAGGTACTAACCTGTGAAAGGTGGTGCCTTGCTGGTGGTGCCTTGCTGGTGGTGCCTTGCTGCAGGTACATCGAAGACGAAGCTGGAGCGATGGCGTCACAGGTAAGCTTTCAGGTAAGTCTCCCTGGTCTCCGCCACTCTTCTCCCTCTTAGTGCTACCCTAAGATCCTAGCAGAGCCCAGCGCTGGAAGACTACTATCTTGACCTACTACTGCTGCAGCGTTCCGGAGAGTACCGCTGCTGAATGCTTGAAGACTAAATGCCGCCTCCTAGGCGGACCAACTATATATACCGTTGGTCCGGCTGGGAGGCTGCTCTTCCCAATGCCGAACGTCGCCAGTCCCTGGCACCAAAAGTCTGGCGCCTAAGTTGGCGCCCAAATTCGAATCGTCGAATTTGAAACAGGGCCTGAAAACGGCCTAGCTCCTACCGGGCGTATACCGGGTTTGGCGCCAAAACGGCGCCAGGGCGTACCAACCTACGGGGCCTATCTAGGCTGAAGCGACACAGGCCTAGCGGGCCTCTACCTAAACTGAACCGATACAGGGCCTGAAGGGCCCCTACCTAACCCCTATCCTGTCTGGTCGGGCCTTGCGGGGGCCCATGTGGTGCTCAGTATGCCACACCCCCCTTTCTTGAAAGACCGAGCCTACTTGCAAGGGCGGAGCTGTCTGTGGGAGGGAGGGACCGAAGTCCGGATGGGAGGGGCAGGTCGTGAAGCTTCCTTAGCTAGTCTTTGTCGTTCGTAGTGAGCGTAGATCAGTGGTGTGGATGCTTGCAAACCTGCTCGTGAAATCCATCGAGTGTCATCATGATCGCATGCTTTGAAGGTAACTTTGTATTGTCAAGGCTTGTTGTCGTACTTGCGATCCGTGATGATGCGGTCGACGTCCTGATGACCATCCATAGACGGAGGGTCTTAGGATCGTCGCCCCGAGAAATCGTCGCTCTTAGCCGAGGCGTGGAAAACCGGGTGGGCCGGTAGATGCGGTGGAATGTCGATCACAAATGAGGGGCCATCGGGCTCATCGCCCGCGGCTGATGTTACGGTCCAAGGTCCAAACCACTTGGGAAGTAGCTTGCGCGAGATGTCTTGTTCGAGCGCAAACTCTTCCGTGGAGACCCAAACCAGGTCGTCGGCGTGGATAGGACATGGTACGCAACGCCGGTTGGCTTGCTGCTGCATTCGGACTTGAGCCTTTTGCATGTTTATGCGGGCTTTAGCCAGCAAGTCCCAGTACTCCCGAACGGAGGCGGGAGAGCAAGGAGCGTCAATGTCGGCATTTCGTGAGAGGAGGAGATCAGCGAAGATACGGCCTTTCTGTCCACCGTGGTGCAACTTGAAGGGAGTCACGTCGATCGTCGGATGCAACGCAGTGTTGTAAGCGAAATCGATGTAGGGGAGGCGGTCAACCCAATCCTTCCTGTCCGCACGGATGAGCGTACGAAGCATCATTTGAGCGGTTTGATGTGCCCGCTCCGTTTGCCCGTCCGTTTGTGGATGCGGAGCCAAACTCGGTTTCATTTCGGTGCCGGATTCTTGCATGAGAGAAGTCCAAAATGCCGACACGAAACGAGTGTCGAGGTCGCTAACGATATCTTCCAGAACGCCATGGCTGCAAATCCAGCCGGTGTGCAAGAGGCGGGCAAGCTCGGGAGCCGTGGCGTTGTACTTGCAAGGAAGAAAATGCGCGTATTTACTTTATCGGCCAACGACCGTGAGGATGTTGTCGTGCCCGAGGTGGTCGCGGGGAAACAGGACGGTGACGTGCATAGCAATGGAGAGGTTGGGTTCCCGTGGGATAGGCAACGGGCGCAACTCGCCGTAGGGATTGCCGTTGCGGGGCTTGCTTCTTTGTCAAACTTCGCAAGAGTCGCAATACCTAGTGACATCGGTAATGAGGTCGGGCGGCCGGAATCGTCGTCGAAGTCTTGTGATTGTTCGGTTGACTCCGAAGTGTCTGGCGAGTTGCGAGTCATGGTACTCTCCGAGGAGGCGAGTTTGGAGGCGACGGTCTTGTGGGACGCATAGTAAGTCCTTGCCTCACGACTGGAGAAGCAAGTAGTCGTCGACGATGCGATAATGGCTGGCCGGCGGGTGATCCGAAGATAGCTGTGCATATAGCGTGGCGAATCCAACTTGGACTGGAAGCGCTGAATGAAATGTCGTTGGAGTTCCTCGTGGAATGCGTAGGCATGGTGTGTCATGGCGCAAAGATCAGGTCTGCGCGAGAGTGCATCGGCTGCGCGATTGGAGAGGCCGACGAGATGTTTCGGTGTGAAGTCAAATTCGTCGATGAAATACATCCATCGTCCGATAGTGCTGCTCACCTTATCTTGCGTCTTGTAGTAGGTCAACGGGTTGTTATCGGTGACCCATGTGAATCTACGACGCCCAAAGAGGAAGTGTCGCCATCGCTTGAGAGCCATCACGAACGCGAGCAGCTCCTTCTTCCTGGCATCATCAAGTGAGTTGATGGGAGACACCTTGTGGCTGAAGTACTCCACGGGATGCCAGTCGTCGCCGTCGTGTTGTTCCCAGACTGCCGCAGTTCCATAGCCGGAGGCGTCGGTTGTCACTCTCGTTGCAGGGTGGGGTCATAAATGCTAAGAATGGGTGCCATGAGGATGGTCGTCTTGAGTGCTTGGAACGAACGGCGCGCTTCGCCATCGAATACGGATGGTACCTTTGGCGATTGTAGTCTTGTCAATGGTGCAGCGATCTTTGAGTACCCGGTGATGAAGCGTTGGCAGTAGCCTGCCAACCTCATGAATGAGCGAATATTCGTGGTGTTGGTGGGCTCGGGCCGTACGCGGATGGCCTCAATCTTGTCCGTTAGCGGACGATGCCTTGCTGCGTCACATAATGGCCCAAGTATTCGGCCCATAACGCGTCTTAAACGTGGTATTGTACCGGTCCTCCCGCCGGATCTCGAGTTGGTGATATCCCGATTTGAGGTCAACCTTGGAGAAAAATTTAGCGCGCCCAGCCGTTCGAGGAGGTCGTTGATGCGCGGAAGAGTGCCAACATTCTTGACGGTTTACACGTTGAGCTTGCGATAGTCAATGCACAACCACAAGTCCTTGTTCTCCTTCCGAACGAAGAGAATGGGAGCGCCAAAGGGCGAGGAGCTAGGCCGAATCCAGCCTTTCTCGAGAAGGTCGTCGAGTTGTGCTCGTAGCACACTTAACTCTTCCTCGCTCATGCGGTAAATGCAACCACATGGAGGCACGGCCCAGGCCTCGAGGATGATCTTGTGGCGGATTAGCTGATCCGGTACGCCTCCGTGAGGGGCTTCGGAAACGTCGCCATAGGTGTCGAGAAGCTTGGTGATGAGTAGGTCCGTTGAGGTGTCCGTCGATGGGTTGTCATGGGGAGGGAGGGCGTGGAGAAAACACAAGCCCATCTCCTCGATGTCGTCTCGGGTGATGGAAGCTCGAATGGTCGCGGTGGACACCACATGACAGCTGATCGAAGGGTGAGGTGGAGGCACTGTGCATGGGACTAGTACTCCGTTCCGGTCACGAACGTGAACGGTGCGGCGGTAGAATTGAGTGTCCTCGCTTCGCAGCCATGACATGCCCAAAATCATGTCGAATCGAGTGTCCAAAATGTCGAAGGTCACGGCCTCGCTTGCGTCCGGGGCGAAGGACACGGGGACAAAATCAATGCATACGGTCCATTGACTTATGTGTGTGACCGTCGGCCAACGTGACTTGCGTGGGCTGCGACTTCCTCCGAACGCGTGGCCCAAGGCCAGCGCGTACCATAAATTCTTGGCTCATATAGTTGCGAGTTCCTCCGGAATCGATCAAAGCACTGCAGGTCGCTTCTCCGATCGGAATGCCTATGTACAGCAATGGCGCTTCGTTGTTGTCGTACCGTTGCCTTGAGCTCGAGGTCGATCTTCGCAAGGTAGTCGCAAAGGTCAACAACCTCTACTCCGGCGTCCATCAACGAAGTCGGTATTGCAGTGTGCAAGTAATCCCACAATTGTGCCATGAGCGCGTTGCAATGTGGTTTCTACAATCGACCGGGCTAGGGAAGGGGCGTCCATTGGAAGTCTGCGATCGTCAATGTTTAGTTCCTCAAGTCTTGACCCCGACAAAAGTTGGCGGCGAAGCTGCCGAATCGGTTGCTGATGGTGATGAAGCCATGCATGCGGTGGAGTCTTGCACATGGAGTGGCTGGTCCAACGGTGGGACCAAATGGACAGCGTAATCCTCGTAAGTGTGCCGAGGACTTGCGACATCCACGTTCTCCCCTGATGTGTAGGAGGCCGCTAGCAAGGCGGCCGAATCTGGCAGAGTGAGAGGTGGAGTCGCCTCACCTCCCGCGCGACTTAGTTTCCCGAGCTGGTTCGAGTTCGAACATCCTCTTGGCCTTGATCTTGGCATTGGGAGGTATTGTGCTTGGTGTTGTTGCACCAATAGCAGCAGCCATACCGGTTGCGCCACTTGTATTCAGCCTCGGTCAAGCTAAACTTGACCCATGGTACTGGTTGTCCGTTTCCAGCCGGTGATGCTGTTTTTGCCTTCCCTTTTCCACGGGATTTGTTGTTGCTTCGCGGCTGGACGGCGGCCACCTGATCTTCTTCTCGTGATGCTGGGGTGGCTGCCGGGTCTTCCACAAGGTTGTCCGGTTGGACTGCAGCGACGGGCTGTGATGTGGATTTCTCGTGTGCAGCAGCCCGGTTGGTCTTGATGATCTCACGGGCCTTGTCGATGATTTCGGCGAAGGTCGTGTACTTTTCGCGATTACCGAGAACGAGGCTCAAGGCGGCACACGTGGAACTCGCGGCGCAAATGCGAAAATGGCAAGTCAAGATCGGGTGTTGCCACGATCTTTTGCCATTCCGTGAGCCAGTCGCTTGTTAGTGTGTTGCCTTGAGTCATGGCGAAGAGGCAGTTGATGGCAAGCGTCGGGGCGTCGTCAAAGATGAACCGCTTCTTCCATTCCTTCGTCAGATCTTCCCAAGAGATCTTTTGGTGCAGGTCGGCGACCTGGACGCCATGGATGGTTGCCATGTGGATGAGCCAGATCTGGCATCCACCCTTGGCGTTCAGGAACAACGCCGAGATGTACAAGTATTTGGGGACCGGATGAATCCGAATCTCCGTTGTAAAGCCTTGCCACCAGACGACTGGGTCCTGATGCGTATAGTCATCAAACTTCTCGCTCCGAAACGTCGACATCTTGTACTGTCGCACTGCACCGGTGCTGCCATCGTTGGCGGGCGGCTGCTGTAGCTGCCTGATCTCGGTCTTCAAGGTGTCGAGCTGATCGCTGATATTGGCTGGTGCAACGAAAGTGTTGATGTTGCCGAGCATTGCGAGTACATGGTCGAGTCGTTGCTCCAACTGGTGGGTTGAGGCTGCATTGCCGGGTTCGCTAGCATCTGGTCTTGGTGCTGCTTGCTCCAAGTCCTGTACATGGGTATGAAGTGCCCGTGTGGCATCCGCGTGCAGACCCTTGTGGTTCCGCACTGCCTGTCGGAGATTCTTTAGTTCCTGGTGTTGTTTCTCTAGCTCGGATTGCAGGTGGTTGCAAGTGTAAACCAACCAGGTCACAAGTTTGGAGAGAAACTCCTCGTGTTGCTCTTCCGGTGTTGCGTCGTCGTGGCGCTCGGATGGTTCAAAGTGCCAAAACTTGAGCCTGTCAACGCTGGCAGCTTAGTGCCGCTGCGGCAGATCTCGGGCCTGCTTGCGGCGGGCCTGGGCATCTGCGTCCGCTGCGGCCTGAAGCCGCTGCTTCTTGGACGCTGCCTCCGCTTCAGCCTGTAGGTGGGCAGCCTCGGCTTCCTTCTGGCGCTGTTCCTCAGCCTCGATCTGCGCGAGCTGATCTTGGATCCGCTTGCGGAACTCGGAATGGACTCGCCGGCAAGTTGACCCGGCATGCCCAAAACTGAAACCGGCATGGTGACAGGGCACTGCTGATGTGGCACTGCTGCCGCAGTACTGCTGATGTGGCACTGCTGCTGATGTGGCAGTGCTGACGTGGCACTGCTGGACTCGCAGGCAAGTTGACCCGACATGCCCAAAACTAAAACCGGCATGGTGATGGGCCACTGCGGATGTGGCACTGCTGCCGCAGTACTGCTGACGTGGCACTGCTGCTGATGTGGCACTGCGGATGTGGCACTGCTGCTAATGTGGCAGTGCTGACGTGGCACTGCCGATGTGGCACTGCTGACGTGGCACTTACCAAACCGGGAAAGCAAGCAAAGGGTTGGGTGGGAGGGAAACGCAGGGAGGCAAACAAACTGCACTTTCCATTCCCGGTTCTAATCAACAGCAAAAAAAAAAAATAGAAAAGGATTCCTCTTTTTTTTTTTTTTTTTTTCTGAATCTGTTGATCTGATATCAGTGCGGCATTTACGGAGGAGTATGAGTGAGATCCAGCCAAGGCTTCGCAAAATTCCAAAGTGCGATTTTGAACAAAAAGAAATAGTGCGAATTTGAACGAGTGAGATCCAGCCAAGGCTTCGCAAAATTCCAAAGTGCGATTTTGAACAAAAAGAAATAGTGCGAATTTGAATGGAGATTCAAATTTCAGAAAAGAATAGATCCAGTTTCCAAGAATATGACAACCTTCGTAGTTAACCTACCATGCCCAGAGCTGAAACGGTATTCACCAGCTCGCAGTAGCTGATGCAGATCCCAGGGCTCGATCCCTAGTTCCCCATCTTACCTGTGTACAGTACGGGTGTCAACCCGTAGATTTGAACCTGCTACCTGTAGGACCGCCAGTGGTAGGCAGGTTTTCGTAGGTCACAGGGTAGAAGGGATTCGAACTGTAGACCTGTAGCGTAGGAGTCTAGACAGTTCAGAGGTCGTAGCTGTAAACTGCCTGAAGGGTCAAGGTCGTAGCTGCTACAGCACCGAAAGGCCAAGTTAGAGGTTTCTAGAAGTGGCCTTTCGGAGTGAGCCTGCGTTCAACAGGGGCAAGTGGTCAAGTGGTGGTAGTCCACCTAGTACAGTCAGCAGTCTCAGTCCACCCAGTCCGGTCCAGTCCAGCAAGTACCATCTGG